CCACCCCTGCCTGCCCGCTGAGATTTGTCAGTCTGTTTCATGCTTCTATGTCTGACCAAATGTGTGCAGTGTGTATTTCTCAGTGACTCAAAATTCAACAATTTTTAGAAGTGTCACTGCATATTATGCTTTGAATATTAAAGATTCTGAAGTTAATGCAGTAGTGAAAAGCAAAGCCCATTTAAGTTTCTCATCTCTTCCTTTCTTCCTCCCAAGTTGCCCATCAATTGATTTCCTTGGCATAAATTATGGTCTTCCCACCTCCAGACTGGAAGATGGAAATATTTTTGTTATTGTGTGATAATCCCAGATTGGAAATCAAATGCTGTCTCACCATCATGTCTTTGTTCAATGACAAAAACAGATGGCATCAAATCCGTGTATGATCTAATCCTTTGATTTACACTGACCAGTTGCAATTTATTATTTCTTCCCCTAATTAGATGATCTTAATGTGTTTAGCATCACAAAATTTAATTTATTAAAATGTTTCTACAGAATGAACAAAAAGAAGTCATTAGTAAATTTCGCACAGGAAAAATAAATCTGCTTATCGCTACCACAGTGGCAGAAGAAGGTCTGGATATTAAAGAATGCAATATCGTTATTCGTTATGGCCTCGTCACTAATGAAATAGCCATGGTCCAGGTACTCAAATATCTTTAATAGATTCATTTTTCTTATTTTGTTCTTATTTTAATTGCTTTATTTTAGTAAAATAGCACATATAGTTTTAAAAAATAGATGTTTTGCTATGAAAAGAGAAATCATTTCACAGTGTATACAAATATTGAATCATTACGTTGCATGCCTAAAAGTAATATATGTCAATTATACCTCAATAAAACAATAAGGGAGAAATCTTGCTGAGCTGTGCACTACTGCCTTTTGTATTGTTGTTTTATTACAACCAGACACCTGTTGTATTTTAATTTTTATTATTATTTTAAATACATTTTATTAATTTCAGAGATAGGAAGGGAGAGTGAGAGTGAGAAAGAAGCATCAATGATGAGAGAGAACCATTGATGAGCTGCCTCCTGCATGCCCCTACTGGGGATCGAACCTGCAACCCGAGCATATGCCCTGACCAGAATCAAACTTTAATAACCTGGCTCATGGGTCGATGCTCAAACCACTGAGCCACACCGGCCTGGCACCTGCTGTATTTTTAAACAACTTTTCTTTGGTGGTCATTTCTGTGTCCTAAGACTTTTTAGGAACATGACAGTGGCCCCATCTGTAAGAATCAAAACAGGCCCCCTTATTCCCGGGATGTATGTGATGTGAGCCCCCAGCTGGACCAGGATTCTAAATCAGAACGTCCCACAAATGTCTCACCAAGTAACACACGAAACCTTAGGGAGCCCTGTTGTTTCTACATTTTCCTTTTTTACTCTTTCAACTTCTGCACGTTTGAAATTTTTCATAATAGAATGGTGATGGGTGGGAGGCAGATATATATATATGTAATAAAATGGTGATGGGTGGGAGGCAGATATATATATTGTGTGTGTGTGTGTGTATGCAAAGAAAGAAAATAAAAATGAAATTTCCGTCCCAGTTTTCATTGCATTTTACTTTATCTTTTACCCACACTATGTTAACAATACAACTGTTACCTTTTGTTGAGTAAGCATAGGAGTTGTGCTGAATATTCTTCCCATAAAATTAACGAAAGGGTTGTTTTATACTTTAAATTGTATCTTGAATGGAAGACAAGACTGGCACCAAATCAGGAAGCAATTGTATTTCAGGAGTTGATATGTTAGTTGTTTTTTATTCCCCATTCATCCCTCTTACTGGGGGAAGGGGAAGTGGGACTCCCCTAGTCCAAGTCACTGCTGATGGTTCCCAGGGCTTGAGAGAGGGACCCCAGGGAAAAAAAGGCTGAACAGGATAGTATCGTGTTATTGGGTCTTTTTGTGGGCTGTGTGGGGACCTAACCATCATCATTCAAGAATATTGTTTCTGCATTAAAGTGCATTTTGAGTTTCAAATACTGGATTTATAAAGAATGGATAACAGCTAATGTTACTGAGAATAAAGAGAGCATGGGGAGGCTGGGACCCTGAGAATGAACATCATTCCAGGACCGAATGGGAGAGTTCACGGCAAGGCAGAGCCTTTCCTTTTCATGACTTCTCCGTGTCCGCAGGCCCGCGGTCGAGCCAGAGCCGATGAGAGCACCTACGTCCTGGTTGCCCACAGCGGCTCGGGAGTTGTTGAACGTGAGACAGTTAATGACTTCCGTGAGCAAATGATGTATAAAGCTATAGACCGTGTTCAAAACATGAATCCAGAGGAGTATGCTCATAAGGTACTGTTTTTTGCTCTATCCCAATTTAGTTTTCACTTTAAAATGGCTGCATGTGGTTGACCATTGATATCTTTGTGGCTGAGTGTCCACACAGAAATTGTGCAGAAGTGTACGTTCCCGTCTGATGAGCTATGCTTAGTCCAGATTCACATACAGAGAATCAAGATCCATACTGGGCAGAAATGGTCAGGGAGCCATTCCAGTGGAACCGGCCATAAACTTTGATAATATAAATTAAAGCTGCCCTTGATCCAGAAAGATGAGTGTAACTTACCCGTTCAACCCAACCTGGTAATTTTGGTTTGGTCCAGTCTGGTTGTACAGGCACATTTTTTTTCATTCCAGAAATATTTAGGAAATGCCTCATGTGTGCCAGGGAACATTCTAGAAACAGAGAACAGATAGACAAACAGCCAAGATAGACCTATGCTGCGTGAAGCTTATATTCTAATGTGTACATGGTGAGATCTGAGGATATGAAGAGAAAAAACAATAAACAGAAATGAAACCAGAAACGTATCATATAGAGACACTGCTGAAGGATTAGAAAAAGATGATGTGGGAAAAGTTGCTAGTTGGGAAAGGCCTCTTAGAGGGAGTGACTCTAGGCTAGATCTGAATGAAAAGAAAATATATATTATGTCATCTAGCTGCATTTCAATTTACTAACATGGAGTTATTTGAGTGGTGAGAAGAATTCAGTGAAGGAAGAAAGTATTTCTACAATATTTCAGGAAATCCCCCATACCACTGAATTAAAGACTGTAAGTACTATAATAGCAAACAATCCATTTAGAAGAAAATTCACACCCTTGCATATGGGTGTGAATGTTAGTTTCTTAACATTGGAATTGGCTCTACCCTAAATAGAGTTTCACGAAAGGGATGCTTTCAAATTGGTGTGTATTGCTATAACCAACTCCAAGGTTTCCTGGCCAGGTTTCTACACAAACTTATATTTTAAAACCCTTTTAACTATAAGCCAAACCAAACATGGTATAGTGTCAAATCAAACATTTGTGGCCAAATAATGCCACTGGAAAGTTAATGCCTTACATTTAATGTCCTAAATGAATGAGATCAAGTGGATGTTTTCAAAAATTGATGATGCAAGCCTAGTTGTATTGGGTAAACTCTAGAACAATCTTTGGAATTTGAGTCAATTTTTTCCAGATAATCTATAGAACACAATGCAATCCCTTTAGGGGCCCCAGAATGGAACTACCTTTTTAAGTCTCTTTTGGTTAAGTGATCCACCCTCCTAAAACTACTCCAGGTGGATGAGCTCAGAGCAAGGATGGCAATGATGCGAGGCACATGCCACCGCTACTCTGTTCAAAGCCCCCAGCAGATATTGCTAAGTAGGTCACTGCACTCCTTTCCTCTAATTTGAGAATCCTATTTACTCAGTGTTGGGTAACTGCAAATTAATGGTGAGAGTTGACACATAGGTGAGGTCTAGTTTTCATGTCTTATACAGTGATTATACTTAACTGAAAGCTTCTAAAAATGGAGCTCTTAAACGTTTTCCCTGGCGTTGAACCAATAACTTTTGCTTCATTATTACATTTTATTTGGACTTTGATTGTAGCTATGCCTGCCATATATTTATTATAATTTCTTTTCTTTTTTTGCTCCCCTAATTATTTTATATGCTTTATTGTTTTAGAGCTAATCTTTTAGTTTAGCTCTAAAATAGTATGGTTACATATCCATACATTGATCTTTTATTTTTGTTTTTTCCATCGAACTCATAGGTGTGTCTTAATTTCCCACATGTATATGATTCTATGCCAAATAATCTTTTAACCAGGTCACTGAACTATAAATATCTTGCAAGAACAACCTAATTAAACTTTTAGGGAGCAGAATGTTTTAATTTATTATACTGTTATAATTTACACAGGAAACCAGCCTTTGTACTTGTCTGATTCCACTATTCTGTAGCCCATAGGTTTGCTTGCAAGGCCTTGTTCTCTTTTCTGTGCTAAATATGGCTGTCCCGCATCAAGGCCCGAAACAGGGGCAAGAGCCAAAGAGATGGACCATTCATATTTATTCATCAGCACTGATGATTTACTTTTACTGAAAACATCCCCTAGGTCTTAAGGAAAACAATGGTTTCCTCCACAATTTAATATAAATTGGTCATTTTGAAAGGGTTCAGTTTGGAGGTACATTATTTAAGGACCAGGTTTTTCTACTGTGAAGTTGTGTAGGTGTGAGAACTAGCCAGTCCTTACTTCAAGTTTTGTGTCTTTTAGAAACTAGATTGTTTCTGTGATGAAGTCAGTTTCACCTCTAGTCACAGAGCCTGGAATACAAAGTGGCAGGGCCTATGCTCTCTCATAAAGAATGTGGGCAGTCTAGATTCATATTACAGCTCCACGATGTCATGAGTACCCCAGGCCTCTTCTCTCTCTTCTGTGCCCTTTTAGTAGTTGGCTTCCATTCTCAAGGTCAAAGATAGCTTTTAGAATTTTAGCTCCACATGCTCATTCTAGGTAAGAAGAAGATGGAAAAGGCAAAGTACACATGCCGAGGATCTGATACATAGAAGCCTTTCTGGAAACGCCACTTTACATTTTCTTATGTCTCGTTGATCACTGGCTTGGAAGTATAGTCATTTAGCTAGCATATTTCCACCCAGAATAAAATTATAGTTCTGTTCTTAGGAAGAATGGATGTTAGATTGTAAACTAGAAGTTTCTGTCACAAATGTGGAAAGAGGAGATTTCTCTGAGGAGATTCACTAAGATAATGAAGGGTCTGGAAATTATAACACATGAGGAATAATGAAAGAAACTGGGCAACTTGTCATAGGTAAGAGAAGACAATGGGTGATGTAATAAGAGTGTTTAGTTCTTTAAAGAGGTTCATATAGAAGTAAGTTTAGATTTATTTTATGGACAATTAAAACTAATGAAGTGGGTAGAGGGAGAGTGTGTGTGTGTGTGTGTGTAATATTGCTAAGGACTTTCTCACATGAAGGCTTATATACTAAATTGTGGACTATCACCTCATTATTTTTATTTCTAGAACATGGGCCAAGAGTATATTTCATAACTATCTAAGGTCTCTAAATTTAAGGATACTTACTTAAGTGAAACAATGAAAAAGACACATAGAATATTCTTTTCTCGATGCAGATTTTGGAATTACAGATGCAAAGTCTGATGGAAAAGAAAATGAAAATTAAGAGAAGTATCGCAAAGAATTGCAAAGAAAATCCATCCTTGATTAATTTTCTCTGCAAAAACTGCAGTGTGCTTGCCTGTACTGGAGACTGTATCCACGTAATTGAGAAAATGCACCATGTCAATATGACACCAGAATTCAAGTAAGTCCAGCAAGATTCAATTTAAGTTTCTTTACAGGAGGTGAAGCAGGTTGTATTGTAAATGTTCTTCCAAAATAGTACAAATTAAACTTATTATTTTTCAGAACTTTTTTTTCTTTTAACGTCCCCAAATTATATCTCTATTTCAAATGTCTGCTTTTCAAATATACTGCACTGGGGAAGGAGGGAGAAGTGTAAGGCTCAAAGCCATTTTGATTCAAGGCGTATCAATGTGTATATGCTCATATTTGTTCTCAAAGTTTGGAACAACTTAAGTCAAGTAAAAATAGTTAACAGACTTGAAAAAAGCCACAAAAGGCAACATGCCCCTTAAGAGGTGGGTGTGGAAGGGGCATCTGCCTGAGGTGAGGGCCAAGTTCAACCCCATGCACCCATGGCCTGAGTATTGGTCATTTGCGAATTCTCAGGGATGTTTCTTACTCCTTGTTAATTTCAGGGCACTCTACATTGTGAGAGAAAACAAAACACTGCAAAAGAAGTTTGCAGACTATCAAACAAATGGTGAGATTATCTGCAGAGCATGTGCCCAGGTGAGTAAATTGCTGTGGGTTTATTCTTACTTTGGCCGAAAGGAATTCTTCATTTAGTGTGTATTTAATTTTTCCTTTTGTTCTCTCTTTTGTTTTTCAGGCTTGGGGAACGATGATGGTGCACAAAGGCTTAGATTTGCCTTGTCTCAAAATAAAGAATTTTGTAGTGTTTTTCAAAAGTAATTCAACAAAGAAACAATACAAAAAATGGGTAGAATTACCTATCGCATTTCCCAATCTTGACTATTCACAATATTGTTTGTTTAGTGATGAAGATTGACATCTGGTTCAAGATCTTTTTAATATATTGTCAACACTCAATATGATTTTGATTAATGTTTTTGTTATACAAAAGAACTGATGTGAGAATTAATTGCTTTACTCTGAGATGAGCTGTATAGAGGAATATGTCATGCTTTCAATTATTCATCTTGTTTGTGGGCAGAGGTAAAGAAATTCTATCAATAACACTCTTTAGTGTGGAGCAGTAGTGTGGAGTACTGTGGAAAAAATGCCAGAGTATAAATGAGGGTCTAAGGTACCAATTTCACTCTTGTCACTAATTTTCAAAATAAAATTAGGCGTTCAGTCATCTTTCTGAACCAGTCTTCTTATTGGTGAAATGGTTGTAATATTATCTGTCTTTGCTTTTATTAGTTTTCTATTGTTGCATAACAAATTACCACAAACCTAGTGGCTTAAAGCAGCACCTGTTTATTATTGCACATGTGGTGTAGCTTAAAGGTCTCAGAAGGCTGGAATCAAGTGTCAGTCAGATGATGTTCTCATCTGGACGTTCTCGGGAAGAATCCCTTCCAAGCTCTTTCCTTTGTTGGCTGTCGTTTGCTTGCAGCTGTAGAGCGGGATTCCTGTTTCCTTACTAGCTGTCCACTGGGATCACTCTGAGCTCCTAGGGCCTCCCTCACCACATGGCCCTTTCACACAACAGCTATTGCTTCTTCGAGTCAGCAAAAGAAAATGTCTCTCCTTCTCTCTCTCTCTTCTGCTAAGATGAAGTCTTAACTGTAATCACAAGGTTGACTATCTCATCCTTTTCCCAGGTCCTGCCCACACTTGAGGTAAGGGGATTTTCCAGGGCATATATGGCAGGGGGCAGAAATCTTGGAGGCCATCTTAGAGTTCTGCCTCCCAAACCACTTGCCCAGTTTTTGTTAATAAGTGATATATGTATACATATAAAACACTGAAAAATATGAAGTGCCATAAAAGGCAAGCTGTTATTAAGACGAGGTATCAGGTGGCCTAAGGCTTACTTCCTCAGTTTCCCTCCATGAACAGGAGGGAATCATGGTGAAACCCACACCAGTTATTAATGCCTGCAAGATCACCTGTGTCAGTGGAGATGCCAAGTGTTCACATAGGATTTAGCAAGGAGCAGATGCTGGATGTTATTAGAGAATAAAGAAAATATGTCTACTAAGTAAACTCTTGGTGACTGTGACCTTTTCAGTATTTCTGAACTAAGCATGACCATTTGGAGATGGATACAGGGTCCAGCGCTTTAGAATGTTCTCCTAGTCGACAAGCAGCCTCTTTCGGCATAGAAGAGCCATCTGATCAAGACAAAGCCACAAATGACCATTTAAACCCACGCTTACCCAGTCTCATAGGTGTTCTGCTTCACAGAAACACTTACCTCCTCTGACTAAGGAGAAACAAAGTGTTGGAAGGGGTGAAAAGAAAATTCTTATGTGGTTTTGATGGATTCATTAAATTCAATCTAACAGGAGCTTTGAATCTTAAGATTTAAGCAAGAGTGAATATTAACCAGTCAGAGCTCTTGGGAATGCATGAGGGCAAAAGAAGATTATGGTTTCTTAAAATACCTTTTAAAACCCCAGCTGACTCCACTAAAGTATTGCTCTCTTCTAAAATATTTTGGAAACTATGCAAAGAACCAAATGTATAAAATAGCTAAATGTACTGCTGTAACATATGTAGACTGTTTTTAAGGTGTCAACAAATATCAGGTTTTTTCATCTATGTTTTCCAGTAATTTTTGAATAAAGAAATGTGATTTCTACTTCAAAGTTTTAAAATACATGTTTCAAATGGTATAAAACTTAATATGTGAATGGTACCTAAAACTCAAACCACGGTGCATGTATTTCATTAAAAAACAACTGTGATAATTGTAGCATTTATATTGATTGTTGCTGGAAAGTTTAATACTCATAATATTTTAAGGTCATTTACAGAGTATGCTCATGACATGTAAGCATCAGTCTGGAGTTGAAATTCCTGGGTTTTAATCCCCACAAAACCTTTAGTTAGATGGGTGACATTGAGCAGCCTCATGTCCTAGGGCCTGTGTTTCCTCTCCTGGAAAATGAGAGATGGATTAAATGATTTCAAAGGTCTCTTACAATTCTACCATTCTCATAGTCCATGCTTCTGGCTTCCTGACTGTTTTATTTTAAGACCTTGTCTATCTAACACTTGCTAAGTATGAAGGTAGCTCATATCCACTAACGGGCATTGCAGGGTTCTCAAAGAACAGATACACTAGCTGCAATCATGTGCCTCAGGGCAGGTTTGAAAGGCCTGAAAGTCAGGAAATTTTAGAACAACATACATTTCCAAATCAACCTTGTGGATGAGAAATGTGAAAATTTATACCAAAAGTTTGAGATCATTTCAGACAATATGAAATTAAAATACAGTAACTTATAGTTTACATAAATATCTTGAATACAAGGTATTGAGGCAACTAAAAAATGAATAAGAAATGCTTTTCCAAAGGATGATTAGTGCATATGGTAAGCAATTGCTGAAAGTGAGAAACACTATTAGAGAGGTGACTATTTTCCTCTCTGCAAAATAGTCCCTACATCTGAGAGCCATGCCTTAGGGAAAAGGAGACTTCCCTAAGGTATTGTTTTCAATTCAGTTGAACCTAAAGCCAAAGAAGATTTGGGGTTTCTGGTCACTGTTGCTTTGAAGGTGTGGGAGACTCGAACATACTCATGTGCTGATGGGAAAGAGAGTGAGAAATATTAGCAATGTTCAACCCCAAATCCAATTGCTTATTGGGTGTTACTGATATTTTCTACCAAGTGCTCTTGCTACAGTCTCTTCTGGTCACCCTGACCCTTTCTCAAATGTGGGCTTCCGCACGTGGTTAGAAACCCTTCTTCACCACCTCTTCAGCGCCCATCCCTTACGTTCCTTAAAGATAAAACCCATGTGTCACTTCCCAACATTTAGCATAGTTCACGTTTCCAGAACTAGAATGGAGAGAACATTGAGGGAAAGTAGTGCTCACTCACCCGGAGCATGAAAAAGTACTCATTTCCAATATCTGGTAAACAATTACATGAGTCATAACAATAAAGAAAAAAAACAAGAAAATTATTTCATCTCTTTCTAAGAGTTATGAAGTTAATTTGAAATGACTGTAAGCTTTTGTTTTCTTCCGTTTGTGAAATTCTCCTTAATTAGGCATACTAGTGATACAATTTTGTACTGGTTTTGTGACTTGGGCAGGTCACTTAATCTCTCTGAGACTGTAAGCAACTAATACCCACCCTGAGAGACTGTCATGAGAATTTGGGTATGGCACGGAGGATACCTAGATGTTGGCATTCAGTAGGAATTAATGTGTGGAGTATAGTAGTAAGAGTGGCCAGAAAAGCAGCAGCAGTTGTAGCACAGCTGCGGGGATAGCATGACAGAAAATTTTAGACCTACGTTTGATAGTAAGTAGGATATATAAAGTATTGGAGGCCCACATCCAATAGTTAGCCTAGGTGGCTTATCCTGAGAAGTAAATAGTAGCTGTAATGAAACATGCTCACTACTGGTATGTACTCAGCGTGGCCAGAGCGAGGATTCAATGTCCAGTAACTTTTGTCAAGCATAAGTGGTGATTGCCTTTAATTTCTTTCTAAATCTCTAAACTTTTTTTTCCTCAGGCAATAGCTTATAAAATATAAAATACATATGGAAAGCATTGCAGATTTTTTTTAGATATTTTCCACACAGTATTATCAAGACCCTCTTTACATGAAATGAATCATTCCATAAACATTTCACCTGAAGCTGACATTGGACAGTCGTGAGCCCTATTAGTGCATAACTTTTAGATCCAAATTAAAGGCCAGATCCTGTGTGGGGCTATGGGAAGAGGGACAGACTGATTATAGGAGGTAATATATAATCATGCAGTTGTTAGAATACATTTGGGCCACTATTTAAGTTGAATAAATCTGATGAAGCATATTGTTTCTTTTACATAGTAATTTCAAAACTGGACATTTTGACACTTATGAAAGACATTTAAATGTTTAATTCAGTTAGATAGGTACTTATATATAATAATAAACCAAAGATGACCAGATGAGCATTTTTTCAGCTTAAATATTTCCTTCAAACCCTGTCTTCCGCTGTCCTTTAGGGGAGCTCATATTTTATTGACTACACATAGGATGAATGGACTGCTGAATGGTTAATTCTTTCTTTTTGAATCTCTTAACAGTTCATGAAAATTATCATAATTTATTAAGCTGTAAGGATTTGTATAATACTAAAATGACCAGAACTACTGATTTAGTGTTAACTTGGACAGGGTTGCCCACCAGAGATTAATATCAATTCAGTACCACACTCAGGTTTCTTTGCTTTCAGTAACCTATAATTGTCCTCTCATACGGTCTGAATCTTGGCCTTGGTGCTCTATCTCAGCCACAAGGGAAGTGGCTGCTTCAAATGTCTGCTGTTTGTGTATTCTTTAGAGTTCTTTTTACTTCTTAGTAGCTAATCTTCTGTACTGTAATCCCATTATAGTTAATAATTACTTATATTAAATTTTACTTGTTCAAATCACTCTGTGGTTTTTCCAACCAGAATGAAACCAGACTCACACAATATATCTAAAGAAATATGAGAATTAGTTCATAAGAAGTTATAATTTTCAAATATCCAATGACTCTTATATGTAAACATTGTATTTCACACAGGAAATGACTCTCATCCCTGACCAATTCTCTAACCAGACAATTTAGGAACTGGACAGAATCTAAACAACCAATTTCGTAATACCAGCAGTGGAACACAAAATTCCTGCCTTATATGAAAGACCATGTAATGAATTACTTAGAGGATTAAATGTGAAAATATGTGTATCACAGAGAAAATAATTATTTAAAACTGGGAGAATATCTCTCAGAGAGAAAGAGAACTATCTTTGTTTTAGAACCCCACCCCACCCCATCCCAGCCCGGCCCTAACATGTGTGTTTAGTTTGGAAAATGAAGCCTTCTTATGGCTCCCTGGGTAATTAATCAAAGAGATAGCTGAATTGTTTTGCATAAAACGGGATCAGTTTGAAGGAACTAGAAAGAAAGGGAGAAAATGTTGAAAAGAGAGGGAATCCAGGAGCAAGGCAGGAGGCTGCAGCCCAAGTAGAAATTAACCATGGAAATTCCACCATCATTGTCCCAAAACCAGTAAGTCTGCTACTTACATACTTGAATTGGTTGTTATTTGGCACCAGGCGTCAGGGCGGTCTGGCAGGGCAATATGGAAATGATGAGCACACACAGGAAAAGTGGACACAGAAAATTCCAGATCACAAATGGTAAACACATTGTGCAGTGACGGACACAAGGAAGGCATTCAATAAATATTAATTTTCATTTTTTGATTTTAGGTAAAGATACAATCTCTGACCTTGGAGACTTACAAATTTCATTTAGAATTCAATGATTATAGGTACAAAATTATCAGAAAAAAATATGAGTATACAACAGTTGTGTGGTATAAATGATAGGTATTGTAGTGTTCAGAAAGTCAGGGATCAACTCGGAAAAGCTTCTGAATTAGAGTGAATATAATACCTTGTGACTATTAGATATTCAATTCTTATTTATTTAAAATAATTTAAAAAAGGGAAGAAGAGTCCTGAGTGCATTCTAAATGGAGGTAATGAGGAAGAGAAGAAAAAAATAAACATATTTTGCATATTTATTGGAATGTCACATTGAGTCTGAGCTTGGTTGGATAACCAAAAATGAAGTCATTTTAATTTTTTCAGCAATGGAGTGACATAGTTTGGAAAGATGACCTGTAAGGAGTTAGTAGGCTAAGTCATATTAAAGAGGGAAAAGTTGGAAGGCAAAAATCAAGGAAGGAGCTGGTTGCAGTCATTAGGGCTGAGGTAATGACAATCTGGACTTGGCTAATGGCAGCGAGAATGGAAGAACTGAGTGGTCCTGATGACGGTGAAATACAATCACGTTCTGGGAAGACAGGGCTGGCACAGAATTGATGGCAATAAACAAAATAAATACAGAGGTACAGGACCGTGGGTGATAGAAACAAATATAAGAAATTTCTTTACATTAACTTATTTTTGCTCTCAATATGACTCAGTTCTGCCTGTTCGTCATCTAGTGCCACATGTGGTCATGTTCCTGGCACATGGAGTAACAACAATTTTATTGCACCCAAGAACTTGCTCACTGAGCTCCAGCTGTTTCCTAGTCCACCCACACTGATCACTGAGCTACGGTGGATACAATTTCCTTGTCCTGAGGAAAAGGTTTCACATGAGTCAGAATCTCCTGGTTTTTGAATAAAGCAAACCCTTTACTTCCCAAAGGCTCTGGTTCCCAAGAAGAGTAGCACAACGAATCTCATCTGTTTCCTACATCCATTCTTACTCTACCCTTGGGGGCAGACTGATTGTATGACTCAGGTGCTCAAGAACTAAGTAAAATGCTTTGGAGTTACGATTCTAGTAATGCCAGGGAAGTAAGTTTCTGGAAAGACGGTTCCTGCACTCCCTATTCTGTGGTCCTTTCCAGTGCTGCTGTGTCTCAGGCTGTGGCCTGAGATTGTGATACCTTTGTCAGACTTTAAGATTATTCTAGACCAGCTCTGCCCAATAAAGCTAAAGTGTGATACACATCACTAATTTACAATTTGCCAGTTGCTACATTTAAAAAGTTAAAAGAAACAGATGAGATTAATTTTAATGTTATTTAATTCAATATACTAAAAATATATTAACATTATCAATATAAAATGATTAATAAGATATTGTACATTATTTGTTATTAAGTGTCCAAAATTTGGTATGTTTTACATTTCCAACACATCTCAATTTGGAATGCCACATTTCTAGTGCTCGACAGA